CAGGCCTCAGGCTTCCTTTGGTGAAGCCGCAGTCGTGTGCCCACGCCCTGGCTGCAGGCAGGGTTGGGAAAGTAGCCGTTGTCTTTTTCAGCCTCCACAGTGGGAGGCAGGCTGCTCCCTATGCAGTGGGGTCTTCAAACTTGGAAGTGGGTTCAGATGCTGAGCAGCCAAAACGGAGGAGAAAGATTCACCGACATCAGCTTCCCAGCCTCTGCAGACAGGCCAGTGGTTCCCACGGCCGATCCTGCCCACCACTGAGGCCCTGGCTGATCTAGCGTTTTGGAGATCCCGCATGCCAGCCACGTGTGGCCATCATGCCCTCTCTGAGAATCATCTCACACCCTACTTCCTACAAAAGCTACAGCTCTCATCACTCTCCCTGGAGATGATCATTCCTATCAATAACCACAGGCAGTTACTTACCACTTGCCATGTGCCAGGGACTCTACACACTATTTCCTTCCACTGCCAAAAGGTGTGTGGTTCCACTGTGAGCCCATCTGGCTATCCCCACAGTAACCAGTAGCACTGGAAGGGATTTAAGAGATGGCCCAGGACTCACCCAACATCCTCCATTTACTAAAGGGGAAACAGAGAAAGGGACGCACTGTGCTGGAAGTCACACTGCCAGTTCGCAGTACCTCACTTCCTTCCCTTCTGAGAGACTACCTTCTCTCCTTCCCGCATGCCTTACTCAAGGCAGACACTGGCTTGGGAGGTCAGACTCGAGGCATTCCTGGCCTGGGAACTGACCCTGGGAAAAGACCGTGTGTGGTATTTTCTGAAGTGACCCCATTAATGTTCCCAGGTATGTAAGCCTGACTTCCCTCTCCAGCCAGAGTAATGGCCCCAGGTGGCAGAAACCCTGGTGAGCAGTGGAATGGCTGAGTCAGCCTACAGTGGGAGCCAGAACTGGGGTAACAAGTTTTCCTAGAAGTGACCCCAAGCAGAAGCTGTGAGGGTTACACAGATCTGAGAGCCTCAAGCATGTACCCTCTCTGCACAGGCAACATAAATATACATTCAATTTTGATGCACCTTTGATTTTCCTGGACAAATGTAGGACATAAATAAATTGTTTGGATTATTCAAAATGTCATTTAACTAAAAACCACCTCTAAAATCTTTAGTCAAAATAGCTTTAAAAGAAGTCAAGCTGGCTGGGCATGGTAGCTCACACCTGTAATATCCCAGCACTTTGGGAGGCTGAGGTGGGCGGATCACCTGAGGTCAGGAGTTTAATACCAGCCTGACTAACATGGAGAAACCCCGTCTCTACTAAAAATACAAAATTAGCTGGGCGTGGTGGCACATGCCTGAAATCCCAGCTCTTCAGGAGGCTGAGGCAGGAGAATTGATTGAACATGGGAGGTGGAGGTTGTGGTGAGCCAAGATCGCGCCATTGCACTCCAGCCTGGGCAACAAGAGCAAAACTCCATCTCAGAAACAAAAAAGTCAAGCTGATAGACTTTTCTTACCTATCCTTTTTCACAGCCTGGTTCAAATAGATGCAATTGCAGCAGAGTTTGGGGCAAGGGGCTAAGATAAAGGCTGATCTAAAATGTAAATGATCTGAAAGATAAAATCTCAGTTGCAATTTTGCTCCAGGTTGAGTTCACTCAACAGTCAGATTCTGTTTAGTTCTGTGTTGGGGAAAGAGACCCATCAAGGACTGAGCAGATGCAGAGGACCGCCTGACCTCTGTCCCCTTTTCCTCCTGCAGGAAGGGACCCACCAACTGATTGAGAGCGGCCGATACGACACAAGGGAAGATTTTACAGTGGTTGTGCAACCGTTCTTTGAAAACTTGGACATGCCAAAGACCTCGGTAAAGAAAGCAATCATCATGGATAAATAGAATCCACAGAGAGTGTGTGGCTCTTTCTGAGTGTCATTTATACGATCCAGCGGGTCTATAACAGCCTCTCTTTTTCTGCCCGGTGAGCAGGAGGGATTGCCTGACAACTCTTTCTTCGCTCCTGACTGTTTCCACTTCAGCAGCAAGTCTCACGCCCATGCAGGCAGTGCCCTCTGGAACAGCATGGTAAGGTGGCTGCGAGGAAAATACATCCTCCCTCTGGTAAGAAAAAGACTCAAAAGCCTTTGGAGGACCTAGGAGGTCCATCACGCAGGCCATGTGATTCTGTACACAGCAATGATAAATAAACCCCATCTCCTTCATCCTTCTCTGCCTCCTGCACCCCTGACCTGTGTCCTGAGCTTTCCATCTGGCCACCTCTTCCTCACTCCCCATCTCCCTGCTTCTTGATTTAGCTGGAACCTGTTGGCCAGAAGACGACATATCATAACTTTGAAAACCAGATCAATATCACATGTCCGAACCAGGTAGAGTGGAAAGTGCATCCTTCCAGGCTCCGGCTCCCATTGGGCTTCTTAGTTCATTTCATCCCAGGCCCTCACCCACAGCCCCAGCTCTGCCTGCCCACCCACCCCACTTTATACTCCAGGGTTAACTGCCCCAAATGCCCCATCTGGTTGTACTGAGAGGGACAACCACTTGATCACTACATGACTGGGAGCACTCACACAAGTCTGGGCTGCAGACAACTTTTTGGGGCAGGCGAGATGAGCATGGCAGCCACATCTGCCTGTCGTTCTGAAAGCTGGGGGCAGCGGAGAACTTCACAGGCAGACGGGGCAGAAGGATTCCTTGCTTTCATATAGCCCCTGCCTCTATGGCAGAGAAGCAGAGCGAGGAACTGGAGACCTAGAAGGATATCTAGTTGGTGGTGGGGGATGGGGGGTGTAAATTGGAAGCTGGAGCTACAGAAGGAAAAGAAGAAGAAGCCCTACATTTTTACTCACAAGTTCTCAAAAATACTTTCTTGGAGCTCTGCAGCAGCTGCCCCCAAGAATTCCTCTGTCTACCCAGAGGGCTCCTAGGCTGACACTGGGAACCACTGGACAGGGCTTATGTGAGACAGGACCAAGATCATCTGACTTTTCTCGCCTGGGCAGGAAGGGGCCCTGACCACTGCAGGGTGGGGTAGGCATGGAGTGGCAAGGGAGCCTGAGGAGCAGAGACAAGGGCTTTTTCCAGCAGAAAGAGGAGCATGGTTGGAAGAGGGCAGGGTGGAAAAAGTGAGGCCACATAGCCATTCTCAGCCAGCCACGTGGGAGGTGGAGGAAGGCAGGCACATTCCCGGAAGCATGAGTTTATGCTTATTCTTTGTGCTGGGTTCAGGTTGCAGAGAAGGCCCCCCTACATCCCGGGAGGGAGTTGCCCTGACAGAGAGAGGCCAGGCTTGGGATACAGGACAGGGAGGCTGCAGCTGTTTATGCCAGGCCGACACTTATTGAGTGCTGGCAAGCAGAGAAGCAAGCAGAATTTGCTGCCATTGCTTACCCCCTCTCCCACAGGTCCAGCCATTCCTGAAGACCTACAAGAACAGCATGCAGGTACCTGCGTCTTGCTTCCTCTTGGCTCACCGGGCAATGCAATGGGCAACCCCTGGTCTGGGACAGGTCCAACATGGCAGGGTGGGAAAGTGGGCAAGGGTTCCAGATGGCCATAAAGGCCACCCACCTGACCTTCAGATGGAGTAGCAGGTAGGGTAAATGCCGTGGATAGCAGCTGGAAGGCACCCAGCCAACCCAGTCACAGCTTTACCGAAACATAAATGAAGAGAAACCCTCTTCCTCGTAAAGCTGGTGCAGAAGCAAGGGCTGGTGTGGGGTGGGGCCATTTGTTTCTGCCCTGAGTCTTGCACTGGATGGTGAAGGGGTCTAAACTAGATGAGTGGACCTCGACCTGGCTGATAGGCAAAATTACCTAGGGAGGCTTCTTCAAAAGCCTGTTTGAGCACCGCCCCCCCCGCCCGCCCCTGCTTCAGGAGTAGGACCCAGGAATCAGGAATCTGTATTTTTCTTTTCTTTTTTTTTTTTTGAGATGGAGTTTCGCTCTTGTTGCCCAGGCTGGAGTGCAGTGGTGCAGTCTCAGCTCACCACAACCTCCACCTCCCAGGTTCAAGCGATTCTCCTACCTCAGCCTCCAGGTAGCTGGGATTACAAGCATGTGCCACCACACCGGCTAATTTTTTGTATTTTTAGTAGAGACGGGCTTTCACCATGTTGGTCAGGCTGGTCTCAAACTCCCAACCTCAGGTGATCCACCTGCCTCGGCCTCCCAAAGTGCTGGGATTACAGGCTTGAACCATTGCGCCCAGCCAGGAATCTGTCTTTTTCACAGCTCTTGGGATACATCTGATAGCCAGTTTTTCTGGTCCCTTTCAACCCTGAGATTCTGGTATTCATTCTGTGCCCTTAGGGTCATGGGAGCTGGCTGCCATGCAGGGAAAGAGCCCCTTCTGCCTCGCCCCCTACCTCAGGTAAGCCCCCTATGGCAAGCAGGACCCAGGCCCCTCCACAGGGGCTTCTGTGTCTTTGAGTCCTCTCACCTGACTTCACATTCGCTCCATGGCACAGTGACGGCCAGTGCTTGCCGCCTGTCTGGGTGGTTACCTGGGATCAGTCCCTGTTTTGCGCTACTCCAGCTGGTGGTGACACCATGCTCAGCAGGCACCAAGGCACCTAGGGCCAGAAGCTGTCTCCTGCCCACCTGCTTCAGCCTCTTAGAGGGAGCATAGGCTGAGGAGCCCTGTGAACACACCGTTGGGTGGCTCAGCCCAGAGGTGGGCCCGAGTCCCCAGAGGAAGCTGGCTCTGTGGCCCCAGGCTCTACAATCACTGCAGCCTACAGTTAGGCCTGGAAGATTCCCTAGGCTCTTCAGAAGAGATCTGGGGGCAGGGAAGGGCCCAACATGATTATTCTCAGACTCTTGGTAGCAAATTCAGACCCCACCACTGAAAGGGCTGCACATCAGGTCCTGCACCTCATCTTACACGGTTTGATGCCTGTCCAGTTGTGCACTCAGGCCATGGCTGGCATCTCCCATGACTCCCCACCCTCCCGCCTTTCCCTCCTTCTTTCCCTCCTTCCCTCCTTCCTTCCCCCTTTCTCCCCTTTTCCTCTTCTTCTCCCTCTCTGCACCTGTCTTTCCCTGTAGGTCCAGAATTAGTTGTGTCTTAAGGGAAAATTGTCCTCATATAACTCCCTCCTCCGTGGTACTGTGCACACCCAACCCTGCATGGCCCAGTGCACGCGCAGATTGCATTGCAGACCTTGCCTGAAGCCAGAGGCACTAGGCTGAACTGCAGCTTCCTTCCTGCAGCCCTGAGTGTGTCCACTTCTTTCCAGTGCATGCCCTGAGACCTGCAGACATCCAAGTTGTGGCTGCTCTGGGGGATTCTCTGACCGTAAGGACTCTTGGGCCCTGGGTGGTTTGGGGATACCTAGGCCAGCTCCAGGTCCCAGTCCTCTTAAGGGCCAGCATGCCTTTCCTCTTATCTCTTATTTTGCCCCTCTACCTGGCTTTGTCAATCCAAGCGCATGCCAATGACTTGATTTGTGGCCACCTTCTCAGACAGTTGTGCAGAGGAAATCTTTTTCGGGACTCAGCTGAATTGTCTCAGAGGGCAGAGGTTTTGAATACCCAGTACACTTTTTTAATGTATGTAATGTGATTTTGACTCAAGATTCTCCTAAACCTCCCTGTGCAAGTGCTCTTTTTCCTTTGGATTATGCTTTATAATCCGCTAAGACCTCACATCTGTTTCCTCTTTGCATCTGCACGGAAGGCAGCAAGGACTCCTTAGTTGTAGATAACGCTCTGCTCCTAACTTCCAAGAAAAGGGGTTATTTTACTATCCCCAATCATCATTTCCAGCAGCACGTCTAAGGCCTTGAGAATACCTTACAGGATGCCCCAGAGGGAACGAGGAGAAATGTGAGGCTTAGGAGAAATCACCGCAGTCGCAGTTGCTTAAGTCGATGAGCTCTCTCATCATGCTGTTAAAGAACGGAACGTAGTGGCATAACGCTGGGAACAATATTATTAACACTCTCTCACATTTGTAAAGCACTTGAGAGTTTTCAAAGCGGTTTTTACCACTGTAATCCAATTTGGTCCCCAAAACGCCCCCTGTGAGATGAGCAGGGCCTGTCCTCAGCTTGGTGAGGAGGCAGCTGAGAGTTGGGAAAGGCCCACGGCCAGGGAGGAGGATGGAGACTTAGAGCCAGGGCTCCTGGTCGGTGTCTGCTCCCACTGCGTGAGTGCATAGGGAAGCCGTCATTGGAAGCCCTGCACGGTCACAGCCTTCCTGTTCTCTGACTCACTAATTTTCTGTGGACTCTGGTATGTTTTCAAAGGCTGGCAATGGAATTGGCTCCAAAGCAGACGACCTCCCCGATGTCACCACACAGTATCGGGGACTGTCCTACAGGTAATGCTAACCTTCGACCTCTCTCAGGGCTCTTCCCACAACAGAGATTGGATGTGGCTTTGTCTCCCGTAAATATGTGAATCCCAGAGGTCAGAGACTTGGTCTGGAAGGGGCTTTCAGAAAGAAAAACCTACATATTATTTCTGCAAAATGTGAATATTGGGTGAGTGGAGAGGATATTTTACTCTTGATAATCTTTTTTTTTTTTATTGTACAGAGAAAGTAGTAAACCAGGGTTCTTATCAGACTCCTGAGTCAGCAAATCCAACATGAAATGCACCAGAAAAGCACCAAATCCCTGAATCTTCACCTGCCTACTTGCATGTATACGTGTACACGTGGTGTTCCCACGTCTCTGTTTACTGTCTTATGTGTTTATTCATGTTGTCTTGTCACATGGCTGCCTTTACATACATGTACACATCTGCACAGAAAACCTGTGAAACCTGATGCACACTCCAAGAGGGCATAAGCAAGACACAGTCACAATCAGCCAGGTCTTGAAAGATTAGCAAATAGACAAGAGGAAAGGGTGAGAAAAAGGGCCTCCCGAACACACAAATGGAGAAGGTCAGGGTGTGCCAGGCGAGCGGTTGTGAGTGGGTATTCTCAAATTCCTTTCTTTCCTAATAAAGTTCTCTCATTCTCAAAGTAAGGGCCAGTAGCTCAGAATTTACCTGGGAAAACGACTAGAATGAAGCTGGCCACGAGGGGGCAGCGTGCTGCTAATGAGCGGTGGAGCCAGGAGACCACCTTTGCTGCCGCCTCCCTTTTCTTTTTCTTCTTTTAACTGTCTGAATCAAAGATTTTTATTTATTCTTCTGCCAAACACAACTGATTTCCATCTACAATTATTTTTTAAGGTAAGAAACAGTAAGTCAACTGAACAAAGAGCTGGGGCTCTGGGCTCTGGGCTCTGGAACGTTATTACACAATGAGAAATGCAGGCCCTCAGCGTGGGGTCTGGTCAGGCTGGCCACAGCAGGGCAGGAACCTGTCTCAGTGAGCCTTCCCAAGAACACACCGCAGCACCTGACACACTGCTGGCACACCGCCTCAAAGTCAGAGTCATTCCCATAATAGGGATCTTCAATAGTAGGTTGTGTTTGTGGATCATAGCGCCCAAGTAGTTCAATTTTAGCTCTGCAGGTTTTGGGTTTTTTTTTTTCCCTAGCTCTGCAGGTTTTAACTCGATTACTTTTTCTATTCAAATCTCTCAGATTGCTCTCATCCATACATAGTATATAATCAAATGTGGCAAAATCTTCTTTGGTAATCTTCCGGGACACGTGGTTCATGGGGAATGCCATGCCTCTTCATGCCGCTCTGCCCTCAGTAGTCAGGGGTTTCCCGCCCTCATACCCGGAAGTCGCCGCACTGTCTACCCTCCAATTGTCTGAGATGTTTTGATCAGTTACAAGTTTCCTGAAAACTGCTTCTGCAATGGGTGATCGACAAATGTTACCCAGACACACAAACAGCACGGACTTGGTAGCCAGCTCTGCCACCTTCCCACGTGCCCAGGGGCCAAGAGACCACGTTGTACTGCACAGTGTCGCAGCGCATGTGGACTTTTTCTTTTGAATGAATTTGCTTCTTGGGGAAGTGACAGGGAGCACGGAGGGCATGATCAGGACCGTGATGCTTCTCTGGCCAGACTTGAGCAGAGTCCCAGAGAGAATGGGTTTCCAGGGAGGGAGGAAGATGCCATCACTCAGCCTGTAGCACCCACAGCAAGGACCTAGGGTGTCCCCAAGGACCTCTGTTCTTGAGGATATCAACCCCTCAAGAACAGAGGTCAGTGTCTTTCTGTGCCAAGGTCCTAACAGGCTGCCATGGACAAATCAGAGCCTCACTGACTCAGCACTCTGCTTCTAATGAGGCTACAGGAAAAAGAAAGCGAGAGGAGAGAGAGCAGAGCTTGTTATAATCAAGAAACAGCATGAGATCATGGCAGCGGCACTTGGCCACAGCTAGAGAAGGCCTCACACCATAGTGTGGGAAAATCGAAAATAAAGTAGACAAACCACATTGTGGGTGACAGATATGTGACATGCACCAGGTGGGGCAACCTGGGGAAGTGAGGCGATAAGCCCAACTTTACAAACAGATTGATGGGTCTCTCAGCCGGGCTCCTGGGATTCAGATATGAACAGGCAATACCCTCTACTAAAAGTTTCTCTCTGCAAAGATGGGAAAATTCAGCCATTGCTCTGTTTCTTCCTACAAGTGAAGTCCATTGCAGCCTAATGTCTCAATTTTCTAGTTCTAAGGCCTCAGGTTCAATGGCTACTCTCCCTTTAAACCCTTCATGTGTCCTAAATGTTTCAAATTGCTGCCCCCAAATGCATGTGTGTTAAAGATGGAAGCTCGCTGGGCATGGTGGCTCATGCCTATAATCCCAGTACTTTCGGAGGCCAAGGTGAGTGGATCACCTGAGGTCGGGAGTTCAAGACCACACTGGTCAACATAGTGAAACCCTGTCTCTCCTAAAAATACAAAAAATTAGTCAGGCATGGTGGCACGTGCCTGTAATCCCAGCTACTTGGGAGGCTGAAGGAGGAGAATCGCTTGAACCCGGGAGGTGGAGGTTGCAGTGAGCCAAGATGGTGCCATTGCACTCCAGCCTGGGTAACAAGAGCAAAACTTCATCTCAAAAAAAAAAAGATGGAAGCTCCAGGTCAGGGTCTGAGAGACAGTTTGACACTTGGTAGAATACATATTGTGTCTCAAGTGTTCCATGGAGCATTATTAACTCCAGACATGTTCCCGAAGAAGGGAAAATCCTTTTTATTTGAGGGGGAAACATTGGAGCCTTCCTCTGGGGAATTCATAAGCATATTAGCATATTAAAGGCTCTGATAAGCCCTGCAATGCAGAAATCTGTTTAAGTTTTATCTGTTTAATCCAATGTTTCCCTTAATTCCAGAACTTTTTCTTCATTTATAACACCTGTTAACATCTCCTGGAAAGTGTTCATGTAGTAGACTGGAAACACTAGGCAATTAATGTTACTAGATCAATCAAGAATGGAATTTGAGCCTCTTCCCCATAGGAAACAAAGTGAAAAGAGTGGATCTCATGGGGTTAGAGGAGAAGTAGACCCAGAATTCATTGGGGGTGGGTGGCTGTGGACAGGACCCGCAGAAGAGGCTTGGCTGTGAATATTTCCAAGGCCCCTTGACCCATGAGATTCTGCAGTGAAAGGTTCCAGCTTTGGCCAGCTTAACAATGTGGCGGGGCCAGAGGTCTTGAGAACATTGCCTTTTCTTCCATTGAAGTAAGTTTTCTTGTTTGGGACCATTCAAAGGACCAAAATAAAATTTACTTACCAAAAACTGCCTTTGTTTTATTAACTAGGGGTTCATTCTCACATGGCTGAAACTCCTTCAACAAATGTGATTGAGCATCGATTCTATTTTTCTGTACACTTTAGGTGACAGCAGATGACCAGAGCCCAGCCATTGAGCTCATAGTGTAATGTAAATGATATTCATCCGAAGGGTCTAAGGTGGACTAGCTGTTTGATATGGGTCTGTTTCCTTTCATGTTTCACATAGTTCTGATCAGAATGAGAGTTGGAATATTTTTGTGCTTTTGTATGTATCTGTCATAATCCTTTTCTTCTGGAAGTTTTCACTCTAAAATGAAGTCAGGGAGAGATTTTCGTAGCCTGTTGGTCTTGATCAGCCACCATACTTGTTTTAAAATGAAGATATCTTTCAACAAGAAATGACAGTAGGAAGTACTTGATGTGTTTGCGTTTGCATGTCTGTGTTTATTTCTTTATCGAAGGAGAAAAGGAGGCAGAATTAGAACACAGTGATTGGCAGAGGTATATAGACTTATCATTTCTTTTTCAATGTAAAATATTCTGATTGGGTGCCTTTAGTCCAGAGAAAGAAGGATCACAAAGCAGCAGCTTCATGCAGAGCTGGAAAAGAATCAGACGCTCATACAAATGCCCATTCACTGGGCAAGTTAGGCTCAGACATCTAATGGGAAGGTGGGGAGAGAGAACTGAATGCAGGAGAAGGACAAGATTTCTGGCATCTGCCTTCTCTCCACCACCCGGATTGCTTGCAGAGCTGCTGACTTAAGCCCTGGATCACGCTGGCATGCAACAGTCCACTTCATTCGCAGCATTCCTTGAATGAAGAACAACAAGGACTCATGGCCTGTCCCTTAGAAGTCTCTGCTGGTGGGCTGGGTGCTAAGGCCATGTTCTTAAAATCCACTGGCCTGGAATAACATGCTAGGATTCAAAAAAGAGACACAGAAGAAAACAGTAAATACTATATATATTAATATCAGATTTTGTTAAAATAGAAATACTGTCTTTTCTCCTGTGTGTCGTACTCAATTTATTAATAAATGCATGAAAGAAAACAAACTACTTAGTGTGTTAAAGTTAGAATAAATGAAAATTAGATGGGGCATGGAAAGGTGAGTGGCCACCCTTCTGAATTGTCCATTGGAATTTAGCTGACTCCTGAGCAGAGAAGAGCTTGGCTATTTTCCAAAGGTTTCCCGCTCAAGCTGGGTTTCGGTGACCTTTAGCAAGTTAAGTAAGCTCTGCGCCCCTCAGTTTCTTACTCCGTAAAATGGGCATAGTCACCTCTACATCATTGGCTTTTTGGGAGATGTGGAATAACATACATAGAGAATCTAGCGCATGTCTGGGCGCATAGTATATACTCAGCTACGCATTCTCCCTCCTGCCTTGGTAAAGAAGCAGCTCGCTCATCTTCAAATCCTGGGTTCAGTAAGGAACCAATATGTTAGGGAACTCAAAATGTTCTCAGAATCTCTCAAACACAAAAAGATGGGTCTGGCCCATCTCAAAGGTGGGGCACTGAGAAGGGTGGGGTTGCTCTTTTGTAAGGTTTCTACATTGATTCAACCAGTCTCTCTCTCCCTCTCATTGACTGGCCTGCTCACTCCCTACAGTTCAGGAGGGGACGGCTCCCTGGAGAATGTGACCACCTTACCTAGTAAGTAGCCAACAGGGGCTTGAATCTGCCTACCGTTCCATCCATCTGGCCCCTCGGATTCCTGAGAGTACCTCCCAGCTAAGGCACAAATGGCATTCCCTTATGGCCCACCATTTAAATAGGAGACAGGAGGCAATGAACAAGCAGCCAAAGTGGGTAGAATAAACACCAGATTTAGAGCCTGAAGATCTGGTTCAATCCCTGGCTCTCCAAAGATGTACTATCAGGTGACCTAGGGCAACTTATCCAATATTCTTAGCCTCAGGTTTCACCAACAGGCCCAGGAGGTGCTGAGATAAAGTAGGTAGTGACCCTTCAATGCACTGTGAATTGTATTTTAAAATGTATGTTTTTTAAGTGAGAAGCTCTTGCCACCCTGGCCCACCTAGTCATCAGGTCATTAGGTCATTTCAACTTAGGGAGGCCCCAGCTTATGTCCGGGACACACACTGCCTCCCTTCCTCTCCCCAGGAAGCATGAGGATGATAACGCAGCCCACTTTGGGGACCTAGGTCCCACGGGACCAGAAAAGCTATCCTGGCTTTCTGTTCTGAGCTGTCTCCTGTTCACTCTCTCCTCTTCCAGATATCCTTCGGGAGTTTAACAGAAACCTCACAGGCTACGCCATGGGCACCGGTGATGCCAATGATAAGAATGCATTCCTCAATCAAGCTGTTCCTGGAGCAAAGGCTGAGTATGACATTTGGGGAGGGAGGGAGCCTGCAGTGTAGGGAGTGGAATGCACATAGTACCCTTGAAGATCATAGCACTGACCTGTATGTGCAAAGGGGACACTTGCAAGGCTCAGGCCACCCTCTTCCCTACTGCCCCTGTGACGAAGGTCGTAACAGGATAGAGAGCCTGTGGCCTTGGAGAGATGTGATGCCCCCATGGGTGCAGCTCCTGGCCTTGCCTTCATGTGCAGCATGTTCTAATGATTGGACAAATCTACTAACCTTATCCAGTGTTTAAAACTCACCAAGGCACACAATGCTGGAGAGATCCGCTCTCCTCAGAACTTCACAAGTGGCAACTCCCCAGAAAGCTCAGAGAGGGCCAACCAAATGGATGGGGCAAGCCTTCTGGCCCTAGAGGCATCTGGAGCAACGAGTGATGTCCTTTCCCTACCCCTATTACAGAACTAACAAGAAATGGAATGGAGAAGCCCAGAGGCAGCCAAAGAAGAGCAGCTGCCCAGCCTCCTGGGGGGGGTCTCCAAAGGGGCTCTGGAGGCCCCAGCAGGCTAGGTCTTCTTCTTCTATGCAGCTCCTGGCTCAGCCATCTGAGCCTCTGTCACATGTCATCTTCTTGCTCAGGCCTACACTTTCTGGTTGAAGGGTGTGGCCCCCAGACCCACTCACTCAGCCTGGAAAGATTCTTGGTAATAGAAACAGCTGGGGACAGATGGTCCCACTACCATGTCCTGGGAGGTCACCTTGCTGTGGAGCCATCCCACCCAGGTCTATAACAAGGCCCTGAACAAGTGGAAGTGGGGAGCTCAGGTGCCTGAAATCTATTCCTTCCAGAAATTATAATTTTTTTTTGAGACAGAATCTCATTCCATCACCCAGGCTGGAATACAGTGGCACAGTCTCTGCTCACTGTAAACTCCGCCTCCCAGGTTCAAGTGATTCTCCATCTTCAGCCTCCCAAGTAGCTGGGATTACAGGCTCCTACCATCACGCCTGGCTAATTTTTGTATTTTTAATAGAGACAGGGTTTCACCATGTTCGCTAGGCGGGTCTCAAACTCCTGACCTCAAATGATCCTCCCACCCAGCCTCTGAAAGTACTCGGATTACAGGTGTGAGCCACTGCACCCGGCCAATTTTTTTTTAAGTTGGGGTTTCACTCTGTTACCTAGGCTGGAGTACCATGGCATGGTCTCAGTTCACTGTAACCTTCACCTCTCAGGCTCAAGCAATCCTCCCACCTTAGCCTCCCTAGTAGCTGAGACTACAGGCATATACCACCATATCTGGCTAAGCGTTCTGTATTTTTTGTAGAGATGGGTTTTATCATGTTACCAGGGTGGTCTCAACCTCCTGGACTCAAGCAATCCACCCACCTCAGCTTCCTAAAGTGCTGGGATTACAGGTGTGAGCCACCAGGCTTGTCACCTTCAGTAAATTACAACCCAGGCATGTGGAGAGCACATGTAACTCCCCACCTCTTTCTGAAAGAAGCATTTAGATAAGTTTACAAAAGAAAAAATGACATACATGTAAGAGAGAAAAATCCCAGCTATTGGAGGAAACAAAGAAGCAACTGTGTCAATATGAACATTTTTACAGTTATTAAGTCAGAGCATCAAACTCAGCTTCCTAGCAGCCAGAGTGAAAAGAGGAAGCATGATAAAACTTTCATGGGTCCAATTTTAGGATCTAAACTAGTCTTCCAGAAGAGATGAATGCTTTCTTAGCGTGGAATCCTAAAAGCCCTTTTGCATGTGGAATCTCAGAAAGGAGATCCCGAGCAACAGATGTAATCGGCAGTACCTTTGACTACAGCTGCAGGACACACACATTATTGGCTTCTCAAACGGTTGTCTGTTGTACTAACTTTCCAGAAGATGCAAGTAGCTCCTGGTCTCTGAGCCTCAGGATCTCCACCAGCTCATGCAGTGAGGATGATACTGTCGAAGCTTCTAGTTCAGGCCCTCTAGGAGGAAAACTGTGGTCACTGTTCCTCAACAGACAGATGGGTTTTCTCTCTTTCTCAGGGATCTTATGAGCCAAGTCCAAGCTCTGATGCAGAAGATGAAAGAAGACTATGTGAGTCAGATTCACGGTTATTCCTATACATGAATTTTCTAACCCAAATGCAGTGGTCTGCCATGAAAAGCAGTGAGCCCCATGTTCTTAGAGGCATTGAAGCAGTGGTGGGACAGCCCCCGACAGAGGTTCTATGGAGGAGATCGTGTCAATGGGGAGAGGTGTGTTGCTGGGTACAGTGACACTGCAAATCCTTCCTGTTGCTAAGATTCTGTGGTCTAGAAATAATCCTCTGAAATCCCTTCAGTTCAGAGATGCTGATTGCATTATTTCAAGTGGGCAAGGATGTTTTAGAGGGTTGAATGGGTTTCCTAAGGCAGGGATATTTTCATTTCCTTGTTGGAAATTATCAAGCCTTTTCCTCCCTCCATATAGAGAGTAAATTTCCATGAAGACTGGAAGGTCATCACAGTGCTGATCGGAGGCAGCGATTTATGTGACTACTGCACAGATTCGGTAACAGGGGCTGGGTCCAGGCTGACTTCTTATCCCTGACCTTGCCAGGTGCATGTTGGAGATCTTCTCTGAGAATAGTTCCTAAAACCAATCCTAGGATTATCCAGCTACACCCATGTCAGCACATATACACATCCCCTCTCTCCCTCTCTCTCTCTCTCTCTCTCTCTCTCTCTCTCTCTCTCTCACACACACACACACACACACACACACACACACACACACACATACCCCACCACCCTCCAGGTTCTTGGCACCAACCATCTCCATGTCCCAGGTGGTGAAGTAGCAGGTGGCAAATATATGGTATTTCTACTCCTCTCTCTTATAACTCCTGAGAATTCAGAAAGAGGAAACTGTAGACCCTAAGCAGTTGGAAGGAGGAATCTACTTTCTGCTCCTGAACCAAAGCTCTGGCTGAAGGTTCCAGTCTTCCCATCTTTGACAAAAACAAGTAGTCAATTGTTCAACTCAGATTTTGAAATGGCCACAGCTGGAGGCCAGAGGGCAACATGTCCTTAGGGCTGGAGCCAGAAGGGAAGTTTAGAACTGTCCCACCATCCTCCCACCCTAACCAACTCCTCCTCTCTCTCCTTCCTATATCTTTCTAGAACCTGTATTCTGCAGCCAATTTTGTTGACCATCTCCGCAATGCCTTGGACATCCTGCATAGAGAGGTGGGTGGGGGGTTCCCACAAGCTGGTGACAGCTCAAGCAGGGTGAGGGTGAAGGGGGAGGGGGGAGAGAATGGGAGAAGAACCCCCTCCTCTCAAGAAGACTGTGAAGGGCAAGGGCTCCTTCCCTTCTCAGAGGTTGGGGTCTAACGCCAAGGAAATCTTATTTTATGTGGAATCAGCCCAGAAGGGTCTCAGGTCTGCAGAAAGGAAGGCTAATGTTGCCCCACCACTACCTGGGACATTCTTTGGTGGAATTGTCTAATGTCTCCCCACTAATATATGGGACTTTTTTAGTGGTAGCAGCCAGATGGCCACCAGGCTGGGCCCTGCGTTCTGATCCACAGGGCGTGTCTAGAGCAAGCCCCTGTCTGGTCCTCCACCCAGAAGCACATTCCCCTCCACCACCACCATCCCTGGCAAGGACAAACTGTCCTGACTGCCTAAGACAGGGCACTCTGACCACCAGATGCTCCCCTGGGGGGCTGAGTCCTCGTGCCCACTCAGCAGAGTTAGGCCAGGTTGGGCTGGAGGGAACAGGTCACCTATCTCACTGAAGGTAAGGCTAATGTATCTGAGCTCACTACATGATGGTCGATCTCTTAACCCACTCCAGGAGGTATTATTCCTGCTGCAGCCCCTTTGGGTGGCACCAGTGGAGTTGCGTGAGGTATGGCCTGTCAGGCCCTATGAGGTAGCCCTGTATAGTTCTCCCCAGAACTCAACTCCAGAAAGATCAAGCTGGATTGCTAAAGGGCCTCATTCCTCAGGACCCTGAAACAGCCCCAAGAAGCAGCCCCCAGACCCCCACTCTCATTCACAGCTTTTCTCTTAGGTGCCCAGAGCCCTAGTCAACCTCGTGGACTTCCTGAACCCCAGTGTCATGTGGCAGGTGTTCCTGAAAAACCCAGACAAGTGCCCAGTGCAGCGGGCCAGGTAGGCAGGTCCTGGCTGTCCCCAGGCTGGAGACGCCCTCACCTCCTGGTCTGGCCCATGTGCAGCAGTGATGCCTCAGGGTCTTTGTGAATTTCTCTGTCCATGTATCCAAGTCTGCAAAGGAGGACTTGGACCAGAACGATCCCCCTCTGGGAGGCTGGAGCCATGACTCCCCTGCTACCCAACCTCAGGTGCCCAGCAGGAACGTCTTTGATACCAGGGAGCCACAGAGGGGAGAGATCAAAGTTGGGACAGAGGCTGATAGAGAGACCAGCTAGCCCAGGCTGTGAACATGGGCAGTGGTGGTTAGGAATGTAGACCTGTGTGGTCAAACTATAACAGAAAGCAAGGAAAAGGTATGGACAACTCAGTTACCTTTGGAGGAAGAAGAGAATTAGAAAGGACACAGGGAACTTTAAATTAGGGGAATGTCTGGGTGTGTGTTTTATCATTCTTTGTATCTTATGCATCTATTTACTTAGCAAATCTTACAGAACCTCCTGTGTGCCAGGCATTGTTCCAAGTGCTTTAGAAACCTCTCTTTTAAGCTGGGCGTGGTGGCTCATGCCTATAATCCCAGCATTTTGGGAGGCCAAGATGGGCAGATCACCTGAGGTCAGGAGTTCAAGACCAGCCTGGCCAACATGGTGAAACCTTGTCTCTACTAAAAATACAAAAATTAGCTGGGCATGGTGGTACATGCCTGTAATCCTAGCTACTTGGGAGGCAGAGGCAGGAGAATCGCTTGAACCTGGAAGGCAGAGGTTGCAGTGAGCTGAGACCGCACCATTGCATTCCAGCCTGGGCGGCAGAGTGAAACTGTCTCAAAAAAAAAAAAAAAGGAAGTATCTCTTTTAACATTAAGTATATTTTATGGGTGTGAAATAATTCATAATAAAACCAAAGGGGACACAGTAGGGCACTCATGTGAATGAAGGAGAGGTCTGAGGGCATGAGCATCAGAGGCCCCAAAATACCAGCTCCAATACCAGAGGATGCATTTTCTTTTTAATTAAACACTAAATTTTCGCCCAAATTCATTTGCTCAGCTGAATCATCGGTTGAAGCCCCAGCACCTGCAGCCCAATGCTTGTGCTCTGCTCATATGAGAGGGTACTGATTCCCACACGGGCTCTCTCCCCTGGGCCTTCTTCAGTGTGCGTGTCATGCCTGAAGCCTGCCCCTGAGCACGTGCACCAGAGCCCTGAGGCTTGAGTGCTCCTAAACCAGGTGGGAGGGAGCCTCTCCACCCCTCCCCTGCACCCGGGCAATCAGAACCAGCCCCTGATGGAAGCCTGGGCTCTGGGGCCTCCTGCCTTCCCCTCTTTGTGCAGTGTTTTGTGTAACTGTGTTCTGACCCTGCGGGAGAACTCCCAAGAGCTGACCAGGCTGGAGGCCTTCACCCGAGCCTACCAGGTAAGACAGAGAAGGGCACCATCCTGTGTCCTCTCTCCCATGCGCACTCTGACACACACCCCAGAACCCCAGACCCCCCAGCAGAGAGGCACACAGGGAAGGAAGAGATGGTCAGGGCTTGCGGGGACACAGGGAGCGCCCTGGGTCCCTTTCTCTGTCTCACGTGACTATGGTGTCTCAGGCTCCCTGGTTGGAATCATCCCAGTAGGATCCAGGTGAAAAAGCCCGCATGGCCCAGCCACCCTTAAGGGCTTTACCCCAACTCCTGGCCATAGCCCTGGATGCCCCATGAGACCACCTTTCCCTTTCCGACGCTCCCACTCCAAAGGCAGGTTTGAAGCCTCTGGAGGTTCTTCCCAGGTTTTTATCCCTTTTGGGACTTCCTGCCTAGCCCTTCAGAGATAGCAGTCCACTTACAACCAAAACAAAAAGGTGACCTAACCTGTTTCCAAATTCTCTGGAAAGGGACTTGCCATCAGGGGCATTTGTGTTCTCAAGGGACCGGCTGAGTCAGCCTTTCCATCCAGAGAGATGGGCTGCCCGCCACCCCTGCTCTTGCCTCACTGGGCACTGGGCCCACCCAGAGCCTGTGCTGAAGAGCCTGTGTGTGTGTGTCCCCAGAGCAGCATGCGCGAGCTGGTGGAGTCAGGCCGCTATGACACGCGGGAGGACTTCTCCGTGGTGCTGCAGCCCTTCTTCCGCAACATCCAGCTTCCTGTCCTGGCGGTATGTCCCCTGCCCTCACCCATGGCACTCTTTTAGAGGAGGAAATTCAAGGCAGAAATGCCAGGTGCTTTCATGAGCATGTGTAGAAAATGGGAAAGACACAGGTCTCCAGAGGCCATGCCGGCAGGTGCAGGCTCCCTGAACGCCTAAGTGGCATCCTTATGTACAAGCCTCCTGTGACTCCTGTAACGGCCTCCGTTGTGCTGAGCACCTGCTAGTGCTAGGCACTGTGCTTCCCACAGATAAAATTGCCACCTCTGCCTTTGGAGATGAGCTCAATCATCCGCATGGAACAGAGGTGCAGAGATGTGAAGCGTCCTTCCTAAGATACTTAGGAAATAAGGGGCAGGGAGGCTGACATGAACACGGTCAGATGCAGATGATTAGCCTGCTGCCATGCACGTGGTCTCTTTTGTGTGCAACACTGCAGTTCTAAGGGAGCGTTCTGGGGATTCTCTGTTTCCACTGGGGCAGAAGAGATCTGTGACTGGGCCAGGTGAGGACTGAGGTCTGTTTCCCTTGGCCACCATCCCAACAGCCTCACCTAACAGGAGGGAAACTGGAAGGAGAGCAGCTCTATGCACCCCCAGCACCTCTAGACGAAGAGGCTGGAGTCAGGGCACCCAGCTAAATAGGCCTTCCCCCAAGGCTTTGTTCCCTTATCCCCACCAAGACCACC